CCAAACATTTAAAAAAATTAGGATCAATCTTTCTCAAACTCTTCCCAAAAATTGAAGAGAGGGAACAACTTTCTAACTCATCCTATGAGCCTAATATTACCTTGATACCAAACCTAGATAAAGATATTATAAGAGCCGAACACGGTGGTGCACACCTGTAATCTCAGCACTCTGGAGGTTGAGGCAGGAGGATCGCTGAGTTCCAGGCCAGCCTGGGCTACAAAGGTGAGTTTAAGGCAAGCTTGGGCCTCAAAAACAAACAAACAAACAAACAAACAAGCTATAAGAAGCTATAGAGCAGTATCACTTATGAATGTATATAAAAAACTTGATAGATGAATGAGGGGCCTGCCAAAAAAATGTATACACTTCAGGAAAAGAAAAGTAGCATGTTTTTTTTCAACAGATGGTGATATGTGTGTGTGTGTATCAAAAGACTGAAATCATACAAAGTACCTACTCTGATCAAGATAGAATAAAGCTAGCCGGGGATTTAGCTCAGTGGTTCTGCCGCCTGCCTCGCAAGCACAAGGACCGGAGTTCGATCCCCGGTACCCTGATACCAAAAAAAAAAAAAAAAAAGATAGAATAAAGCTAGAAACTAATAACATAAAGAAAACAAAAAGATAGACACCATGACCAAGTGTTATCTACTCCAGGACTGCAAATTGATGTAATACATGAGATAAATAGATTGAAAAAGATAACAAAATAAACCCTTAATCATCTCAATAAACACAAGAAAATCATTTGAACCAAAGTTACAATCCTTATCTTTCAGAGATATGTCCAAAATACTTACGTATAACATTTTATTAAGATTAAACATTTTAAAGCAGTATACAAAAAAAATATAGGCCTTAAAATACTGATGGGCTGGGGATTTAGCTGAGTGGTTCTGTTGCCTGCCTCACATGTGCAACGGCCCGAGTTCGATCCCTGGTACTAAAAAAAAACAAAAACAAAAAACAAAACACTGATGATTATGACACATTAAGAGCAAATCAGCTGTGTGAACAAAAAAACCTGTAGAAGACATTTGCAAACAGATACAGCGAACAATGAATATGTACTAAACATAAAGAACTTTGACAAATCAGTAAGAATAGAAAATTTCTAACGTCAAACTTACTTCCATGAGGGAAAGTAAAAGGGAAATACATAAGCAAGTAATTAGGAGGCACAAATTAATGCCACAGTACTTTATCACTAACAGAATGGCTGAAAAGATAATGAAAAGGATAAGGGTTTCAGGGTGGAGGCGACTGGTGCAAAAACAAAAACCCACCTGTATCCAAAAAAAGTGCTAGTGGGCCAGGTATAGTGGTGTAAGGACAAATTTTATTTATTGCCCTTTGCCGTGCACGGTCTCCTAATTAATTTGGCTCGATCCGCTAAAAGAACGTCCACCAGCCTTAAATAAGTACAAAAGGGAAAGTTTATTGAAGGATATGCGCATACAGAAAACAAAAGTAAGAATGGAGAGGACAAAGAAAGAGGAGAGTCCTCTAACAGCAAGAGGGACTCTATCCGGGAAATTACCCTTAGGCTCTCTGGCAACAACACCGGAATGTTGGAGGAATTAGGTTCATCACTCGCAACACAGCACGGATCTCTTCAGCAATCCCTTCAGCTACAGGTCTCAATCCCGGGCGTAAGACAGCAGCAGCAGCCTGGGCTAGGTGGGCTGTTTTTATAGCTCTCTAGACAAAGGTAGTAAAACTACCTGAACTTTTGGCGCGGAAAAAGGTGAATGTGCTTGCAGTCACGTCCCAACCAGGCCCTGGCCAGGGGTCCGGGAGGGGCGGAATGCATCACACTCCTTATCTTGATGTTAAGAACATCTGGTCTTTTTAACAAAGTCCTTCCTGCTTTTTTCCAGGGAACTGGCCAGGTATCCAGGGAAAGAAAAGGTGAACTAGTGATTATGCGCCTTAGAGAGCAGAAAGCCTTAACCCAAGCCTTTCCAGTTTAAAGTTTTAACTTTCCTTACAAGTGGCACATCTGTAATCCCAGTCACTCTCGGGGCTGAGGCAGAAAGATCATGATTTCAAGCCCCGCTTGGGCAAGTTGGCAAGATCTCGTCTCAAAACGAAAAAATTAAAAGGGATGTTACTCAGTGCTCTCTAGGTTTAACTCAGTAGTAAGAAAAAACAGAAAAAAAAAAAAAAAGCAAGCCATGTGTAACATGCTACAAGCCCAAGAGCCATTTGGCAATGGCTCCTAATTGCTGTATTTGTTTCTTGCTACAGAAATTCTCATATATGCCTAAGGAAGCACTGTACATTAACTGAAAATAATGAAAAATTAGAGACTCTAGCCTTTAGTGAAAGGATAAACTTTTTTTTTCCCCATGAAAGAAATGAGTGCATCACATCTGGATGTGTCTACATGGCTAAATCACAAAACAGTAATGATCAAGTCAACATGGCAAGTTACACAAGGATACACGAGTTGTAAAGTCCTCAAAATACAACCAGAGACTGTTTATGTACATACACACATATAGTACAGTCAGGAACTCATACAATGGCGTGGTATCCAAAGACCCTTTACCTCTAGAAGTGTGAGGAAAGAAAGATTTAAGGGCATGATCTGACCTGTCTTATATTTTAAAATCTGAAACAAAAATTATTAATGGTAAATTAACATGTTATAATTTGAATCTAAAATGCCACCCCAATTTTCACGTTTGGAAGGTGACTGCATCATGGGGACAGTATACTCAGCAGCAGATTCATCCACTGATGCGTTCAGGAGCCGAACACGTTAGGAGGTGGGGCCTGAATGAAGATGGGCCACCGGGGCATGACCTGGGTGTACTATCGTCACAGATCGTCTCTTTTTCTCTTGTTTCCGGGCTGCCGACAGAGGAGCTGCTACACCACCCTAAACCAGGCCCTTCCATCAGACCATTCTGCCTTGGAGCCAACCAAGGACTGAGTCCTCCGAAACCATGAGCCAAAATAAACCTTTCCTTTAATTTCTAGGTGTCAAAAGTGTCTGAAACGTGACTAATACAATGTCTGAAAAAACCAGGGTGGTGTCTGCTTCAGATACACCTGGCAGTGGGTGCTGGGCATTATAATTTTTACCAGAGACGAAAACTCAGCCAGCACACAAAGGGTAGGAGGAGAGAAAGTCAGTCAGGTGCAGATAATTAATACACTGAGATAAAAAGAAATACAAGAAATGACCTCAAGGACCAACTATATTCCATGAATAAAATGCAAAACTCAATCCAACAGAATAAAACCCCCAAATCTCTCATGCTCCTTCAGCCCCACCACAGGCTAACTCTTCTACATGACATTTAGTACAGTGATGAGGTTCACTTTTTTTTCTAAGCAAAAGAATTTACCTTATTTAATGCTTAATTTGCAGCACCTTCCCCCAAAACAATTATATTCATTCACTGAACAATAAGCCCTGAATCTCCACATAGAAACAGCATTTTGCTAGATGTTATGGGGAATTTCAGAGACTAGGAACTCGTTTCTTCTGGCTCTCATTTAACCCATGTAACAAACTATGATAGTTTTTATTTTTCCCGATTTTACAGATAAAGAAATTGAGATTTAGAGAACCTACCCCAAAATCTTAAAACCTACCCCAAAACAAGTGGACAAACTAGCATAAGCCATAATTTAAATTTAGATGTATGATCACAAAACACATCACTGCACTGTACTGAACCGCAATGCTTTAAGCCCAGGTTGAGCTGATGTCTACCTTTCCTGTTCTTGCTGTTCTATGTAAGCTGGTACCACATGTCACACTATGTTTCTCCATAAAATCACACAATAAGAGTCAGACTAGAACAATATGGTTATAACGTTTGAATCAGTAATTATTCTATGAATAATTTAGAAGAAATAAAAAGTAGATGGTCCAGACCAAGAAGAATATTAAAAGGTTGTTTCTTTTTTTAATATTAAGGAATAAAGTAACAACTAAAATCCTCCTAGGAATTTTACCAAGAAATTTACATAAACTCTACCTCCACCTCAGGTCCAAGCAGTGGTTTTAACAACCCATTTTACAGGTTAATAACTGTCTGTATACAAGCTAAGGGACTTACCTAAAGAAAACTATGTAGCACAGCTAGGATCTTTACCCAGACAGTGTGACTGCCAAGTAAGCATGGTTAATTTTGCTACATACTTTTTTGGGACCCACAGTGAAAAATATATTTTACATCATAACCCAACATAAAGCAACTTCTACAAAACACTATTTACCTTAATATGTAGCAAAACTTATTTTTTAGGATGCTTGTTTGAGCTATCAAATGTCCTTTAGGTCCACAATTTAAAAAACACAAAATCGTTAACTATAAAAATATAGTATTTATTATAACTATAGTAGCAAAAAAGAAAAAAACTAAATGGAACCAAGAGGTCAGCAACAGAAATGAGAAATAATTATGAATATAAAAATTTGTTACTCAGAAAATATTCTGTACATTGCTTAGAACCATGCTAATACTTGTCAATGCAGGAAATATATAAAAATAAAACAGATGTGTTAAGGTACTGACAGACACAGACAATTACATTTTTTGTTTTTAGTTTTATAAAGACTTTTCTTTACAAACTGGAATAATAGGCCAGATAATAGCTACTCTGCTCTTACCTGCTGGCACTAGAACAATTTACTTATGTGTTCTTTCTTAAGTATCAGCTATAGTACAGTTTTCCAGTTAGTTTTATAAAGCTAGAAAACATTTTATATCAAAGGCAGTAAGACAAAATTGCTCCACTGTTTATAAATGAAAATCTGTGAACAAATAACAATACTGAAACACCCCAAAACTTTACAAAGCACCCTAGGGTGGCTACACACACTGAAACAGTGCTCCAATCTGCTCCTGTCCCCACTTCCCCACTTTTCCAGCAGGTGCCTTCTAGCTTCAGACCCTGGTCCCAGCAGTCCCTGCGACTCCGCTTCAGATTTTATGTGGCAGGGGCAGGGGCAGG